AAACGCATCGATTCGCTACAGAAGGCCTTTGTTCCCCCCCCGGTGCCGTGTGAGAGACTTTTTTTTTTTTATGGGTGGGCGATTTTATTTAAGTTCTTTTGGACTGAAGCAATGCAACACCCGCTGAGGGGCATTAAACAGCTTGAAAGATCAAAGAGAACTTTTAATATAACTCCGACTGGATTCGTCTGAAATAAGTCATATACACCTAGGATGCATCGGGGGTCAGTAAAACGCAGCCTAATTTTCATTTTTGGGTGAACTAACCTTTTAACACGCGCTAATGTTGTTAGCGCTACTCTGGCAATTTTATCAGTAACATAAAAACTACATGACTTCTCACAAGCGAGGTAACAACAACGGCGCTGTTCGTGAAGAAAATTTAAACGTCATATACACCTAGGATGCCTCGGGGGTGAGTAAAACGGAGCCTTATTTTCATTTTTGGGTGAACTAACCCTTTAATGAGAGTGGAATATTTAATGTAAATGTATATGATGAGGAAATGAAAACAGTTTAAAATCGTTGTTTACTTCATTACTTTTCTTTCTCCAGGAAAAAAAGTCCGTACACATGGGTCAGAGTTTGCGTGCAGGTGCGCAAATATTCCCGTCAAGTTTGTTTTTTATAAATCACACCTTTTGCGTAGGATGTGGCGTACGCCTCTTTCAGAGCAGGTTTTGTGCGTACGCAACAGTTATAAATGAGGCCCCAGATGTGCTAAAACATTAGCCACATTTAAATCCAGACTCAAAACTCATCTGTTTAGCTGATCATTTATTGAATGAGCACTGTGCTACGTCCGACTCTGAACTGATTGCACTGTATTTTATGTATAATCATTTCTATTTTTAACTGTTTTAAATTTATTTTAAATCAATTTTTAAATCATTTTAAAAGTTTTTAAATTCCTTGTTTTATAATTGTGATTATTTTTTTAAATAATTATTTTATTTCCGTTTATGTAAAGCACTTTGAATTACCATTGTGTATGAAATGTGCTATATAAATAAACTTTCCTTGCCTATTTGCATGCATTCTTGGTTTATGTAGTTGGTTTATGTAACATTTGTACCCAGATTCAGGAAAGAAGAAGACCGCAGTGGTGCAGTGGTTTGTGCGGATGTGTGAA